TATTTCTTCTCTTGCTCGAGATTTATCAAACTGTCGCTATTCATCAACGGATCTTGTTCGGTGGTATTTGATGCGTATTGATGCAGTTAATCGACGTGGCTCTCATCCACTTTATGCTGTTATAGAAACAAATCCTGATGCACTGACAATAGCCAATATGCTGGATCAAGAGCGACAAATAACAGGACCAAGATCTTCTCTTCATGGAATTCCAATTCTGGTCAAAGACAATACAGCAACAAATGATAAAATGCAAACAACCGCTGGTAGTTTGGCTTTGATTGGAGCTCGCGTAGTTCGAGATGCTCATGTTGTTGACCTCTTGAGACAAGCGGGTGCTATTATACTTGGTAAAGCATCACTTTCAGAATGGTCCAACTTCAGATCAACGAATAAATCAAGGGAAGGATGGTCAGCGCGAGGCGGCCCAGTGAAGTAAATTTTTCATTGCATCATTACTAATTATTTTCATATTACATTTTTGATAGTTCGACCTATGTAGCTAACGGTAATCCTTCAGGAAGTAGTAGTGGTACAGCCGTTGCTGTTAGTGCTGGTTTGTGTGCGGGAGGACTTGGCACAGAGACAGCTGGTAGCATTGTGTCACCATCTAGTGTAGCAAACATAGTTGGTCTAAAACCCACAGTAGGACTCACATCTCGTTCAGGTGTTATTCCAATCTCACGTTATCATGATTCGATTGGGCCCATGGGTAGAACAGTCGAAGATGTTGCGTTAATGCTAGGTGAAATATGGATATGGAAGAACTTGTTTTCAAGAAGAAGAATTTTCTTTTAACTTCTAGAGATTATGCAAGGTAAAGATGCTCGTGACGAAGCCACACAACAAGTAAATGCTATCCGTCATAGGAATTATTCACAATTTCTGCGTGATGTTGAAGGATTACGCGGACTTCGGTTGGGTATTGTACGTCAAGGTGCGTAGAACATTTTTTGCAAATAAAATTTAGAAACATGAGAAAAACAATTCAGGCATTAATGTAACGAAAGAATTAGAGGGTGTCATCAACAAAACAACTGAATTGATGCGTTCCTATGGTGCAACAATCATCAGTTCAATAAATATTTCAAGCTTTGATTCTGATCAAATATCTGATGATTTGTTGTCTCTTCTCATGATTAATTTTCCGGAAGATATTGCAAATTATTTGATGGGCTTGAGCAATACCACGATACGATCTTTAACCGACCTTATTGAATTTAATATAAAACATGCCGATGAAGAATTTCATCCTCTATTTGCTCCTAATCAAGATTTATTCGAATTAAGCAACAATGTCAGTAATATCTCATACGCGAACCAATCAAGTCTTCTCAATCGAACTCGAACATTGGGTGGACAATTGGGCATTGATCTTGCGTAAATGAATCTTTTCTATTTTATTTCGTTGATCATATGTTTTACTTTCAGTTTAACTACACACAATTTGGATGCCCTCATTACGCCACGTGTTGATAGTCCATTGACTATAATGGCGTCAGCAGCTGGTTATCCATTGATTATTGTTCCGCTGGGTTATCATCAATCTGACGGTGAACCTTATGGTCTGACGATAGCTGGTACAGCTTGGTCAGAAGCAATGCTTATACGTGTCGCACATGGCTTTGAGCAAGCATCACGTGTTCGAGACCAGCGACGACCTCAGTATGCTGAACGAGATTAAGCTTTCTTATCGAATACATTTACTGTTCAATTGTATTTTCATCTAATTTTTCCTTTAGTAAACATAATAGCAAATGAAAAGAATGTGGCTGTCGTTGCTGATATTCTATTGACATCGACGCCTACACCTAGATAATATTTATGTATAATCTAGCAATCTACCAAATATATCGAAACTTTATTCTTGACTTCGTATTTATTGTCTGACTCCATAGGAAACTAAAAAAACGAGCTCATTAAAGTAACACAACGAGAAAAATAATCATCACCGTGTACACACAACAACAGCAAAAATATAATTTCAATTTAATTATCTGCATCAAGAAAAAAAAGGAACTAATCGGTCAAAATAAAGCATCTGAATATTAAGAACAGATTGGAGGAAAATGTCATAGAGGATTGCATGGAATTACATAAATGTCTCTAAGCCAACCCAGGACCGACCAAGTATATCAGTATCAGTTGCTTGAGGGTATGGGTGTGGGTGTTGTGAGTGTCGAAATCTGTATTTTATTGACACCTACACCCTCTAAAAATTTCAGCCCAAACGAATATTTCCTTCTTGAGATATCGCATATCCACAAAATGGTCTTGGGTAACCTATCTACGGACAAAATTTCATGTTAAAATTCCATAAATAACGGGTGTCCCATAAAGAGTGGGCCTATTCGTATCTTCGAAATTTCTTCTCTATTATCCTCATGACGAAGATACCTTTGTTATCAAAAGATAGCGCTTGAGGATGTGGGTGTGGTTCGATAACTCTGTTGTTAGAAGTGGTCACAAATCAGCACACACTAGCATATAAAATCCACACCCACACCCTATTTTGCACGGTCAATATTTGATTGCTCGAAATTTCGTCTACTTTGAAAACAAAAAATGCAACTATATAATAAGCGGTCTTCTATAAATTGTAGAGCTTTTTACGTTGCATATTTTGATATATTTTGTTTTTCTAATAGAACGAAATAAGTGACGAAACAATGAGATGCAAAGTGCGACCGTTCATTGTGCCTAACCCGTTACTTTTTACAGCTTTTTACATATCGTTACTTTTCGTCTTTTTTCAAGTATATCTAAAATAGGTTTTGATTCTACTCATACTTAGTTTTGTAGGAAATTTCAAGAGCTATCTTTTGATAAAAAGAAGGTTTCTTCATCATGAGGACAGTAGAGGAGAAATTCCGAAAATACTAACAGGCCCATTCTTTATGGAACACCCGTTCGATTCTTCCAAGTAAGCCTAGTCAAAAGATGAAAACCAATAAAATGACTATAACTCCGTACAGACTAGCCAATGGCAGCTAATATTTTGTATTGGTGAGTATGGGCCCTCTTGTGATAATTTACACTAGGTTTTATTCGAATTTGTAACTTACAATAAAAACACCTCCATTGTTAGTGCTTTATATATGTTATAAATGCCGCTGATAATATGTAAACAACATACTAGGCGCTTATTTGAAGGAAATATAGGACGACTGCGATACCAGATGTTTATCCTTCTACTTATATCCCGTGTATATGTGTATCACGAGGAGTTTTAGAAGGAAAGAAAAATAAATTTCTATAGAAGAACGAACGGAAAAAGAGAAATACCCAAATAGTGAAACGTTTTAAGTGAACGATTACATAAACGTGAAACATTAAACAAGCTATTATTCAATATTTTGATTTAAAAAATCAATTAAAATAAACATGTCAACAACTGATAAAAATTTAAATCCTAAAGTAATTAAATGTCTTATCATTTCATATAAAAATCTGTTTCTTTAAGGTAACAGATTTTGTTTTGGAAATAGAAAAACACAGCTTACAAGTCAAGAAATGGGTCAAATTAGCTGTCGAAATTCTCCGCACAGGTGATAATGTAACAGCTATTAAATATTTATCATCGGCTGAATCCATGTCTGATGATTTAATCGACACCATGAATGAATTAGAAATGAAAATATAAAAAATGAATACAATCGTAAGAATCAACAATTAAATTTTGTCAACTTTTTTTTGTTGATTTTAAATTAAAAAAGAATAAAAAGAACAAAGAAAACAAAACATAGGTTAATAAAGTCTTAAAGAATCTATTATAGGTTGCACTCTCATTAAATCTTTTCCAAAGGGCATGTAAACGGCTGATCATATAAATTCAACTTACCATTACACTATTGAATTCAGATGAATCTCAAACAATAAAACGAAGTTTATTTAAACATATAGATATTTATTTTGGGATTCATTGTTTCGAAAAAAAGCTGAAATAAAAATACATATTTAATTTTATATGTTGATTTTTACAATGACACATTGAAATGGTAGAGTATGATAAGAAAACATTCCACTGTTGATATGTATGTCCTCTGTTTAATCTGTTTTTTAACAATTTTTTTCTATTGTTTTGCATATACGGGTATATATCTTTTTTTGTGAATATTTGACTCAGTATGTGTTTGACTTGTATCATACTTCGTATATCAAGTACTTTTTCATGTTGTCCTTTTATAGTATCATTAATTCTTTATATGTGAATATAATACTGCTAGAATCCTAGATTATATGTAAATTTTATTTCCAGTAATGAGAATGTCATATAAATAATAACTCAAGATTGTTTCTTCTTTTTTGTATTTAAGGTGTTATTGTTTACTAAAAAATTCAGTTTCTGTATTTGAAATTAAATGAAATATACTGGCTACAATGTAGCAAATTAATTAACCTAGGCTTGGATTACTGACCGTAAAAATGGCAAATATTGCTGTTATTACATCCATGATGAATACAAAACAGGACGGACCAGGGTATCAGGATAGGGCAGGACAGGGCAGAAAACTTGTCCTGTGCTCAGCTTTGATGTGTTCTAACTATTATATGTATTTTTACCCTCACCCTCAACTTACAAGAATTAACTTTATAAATGAATACTTACTATTCTATCTGATATTAAGATTAAGGGTTTGAACTTGTCGTATTGTTTACAATAACGAAGAGCTAATATGAATAAAAAGAACTTAATGTTAGTGCATTCCGTTTGGGGGTGTTATGTGGAAATCAAGTATTGTTTAGTCTCAACATGCTAAACGGATTACCACTGATAGATCTCGAGCAGACTATAATTTTTGAAACATCAGAATTTCAACCCAAGAAATTTTCGATCCGGGCTGAAACGTTGTCTTAAGTTTCAGCCCGCTCCTAACTTCTTGCCATTGCCTTCTCATATAACACAATAGGCAAAAACAAATCAGATTTTAGTCGATTCTTTTAAATTAAAAATCAATTAAAATGACAGGGTTTTGATTAGTTTTTTAATCAGACTTCTAATTTCAACCGTCATGATTATAAAACGTCCTTTTATTCATTTAAAACTAGAAAGTTCGATTTTTTTATTGGTTTTTATATTTCCTCGTGTCGACATATAGTAAACGAAGTATTAGCCTTACTGCTGATACATTTACATGTATGACACCAATTCCGACATATTAGTGTAAGTCAAAACATCGATGAATTAGATTGAAATCTATTAAAGTCTGCTTTTTTGCATCTTTTTTACATGGGAAACGATATATCATCCTGCTGAGAGATATGTTTTAATGAATCTGCATATTCCTGAACATTATATCCACGGTGGCAAGTTTTCATAAGATTTAGGATTTTTAGTAAAGTCTATGGCAGGAATTACGGACCAGGCACAAATTCCGGGCGAAATTCATGTAACTCTAATTGTTTTTCAAAGTAATCGATCTTCAAACAGTTCGTAGATATTATTTTCTTGTAGTGTTTTTGTTGTTTTAAGAGAACTTTAAAGTGGTTTACGAGGAATATCTCACATTGTGTTTCAAGAAATCAGAAGTTGTTCTAATGTCTAATATGCTATAATATTTATAATAAATTATTTATTTAGGTTTGATGATTTGGCAACAATTGGTGTAAATTTATTCGATCATTTATAGCAAGGAAAATATAGATAAAATTCTTCGCAATGCACAAATTGTGTCGAAAAAAAAAAGTTTAAACGTTTTATATTAACACAATTTCGACGCGTTGCTTTGCGTGTAAAGTTTTCTGTGACTTCCTCTATATATCGATATAGAATTGAAAGATGAATGAGGCGTGGTAAAAGCGTGTTGTTATCAACTAAAAATTGTTCGGCAACATTAATATTCGCAGAACATATGTGGAGATGCGTGAGATGAGGAAATACAATAACCGATGATACTTGATTATTGTTGTTTGCTTCCTGTAATGGTTTATAATTTCGTGGTATATAGTTAATAACAGTTAGCTCAGTTAGAAACGGAAAAGAACGAGCAATTCGATCATAGAATTTATGCTCAAATGGACAAAAAATATCCGCCAACCATATGTCATGGACATTGGTAAATAGACCTATAGGAAAGTTACTACTAATATCATGCATGACATTGATTTTGTATGGAAGTGAGTAGATGTGAGATCGAGCCTCTCCATTTGGATATTGATCTAAGTAAAAGTCAACTTGACTGAATTTCCCGTTGAGAAATGTGCATTTAATGTTTTCATACAATTGATTATTAGCATAAGCATAAGTAATTATATTGAAGTTGAATGTTTGACAATTGTTTTTAATCAATTCAATCGAACGAGTATAAATCTTATCACGTACTAGTTTATCGAATCTTCTATTAACATTTAAAAATGAATAAAGTACGTCAATCTTACTCAATTTATTCCAAATAATAATAAGTATTTCATCCGGAAGATTCATAATATTAACTATCGAACTATTCATATTCGTTTGAAATTGAAAAATCGTTAATAAAATGAGCAAACTATTGATCAGTTATGCATTTCTCTCTCTCTCTCTCTACAGGATGGTCTATAAATAACACGGAGATAAGAAATTTAAATGTCTCCGCCAGATGTCAACCAAACGATCTGAAATTTTTACCAATGATAGAGGCATATTCAAAATTTACATCCATAAAGACATGCCTACAGAGACTCTTTGTTAAATGTCACTATTATCCTCAGCGCAGAAATCTTACTTTTTCAGAGATAAGAAAATAAAAATGTGCTTAAGAAAGGGTTTCTCTAGGCATGCCTTTATGAATATAAATCAAGGGTGTGGTGTAGGTGTGCATTTGAGTTTTGCTTTGATACACTCACACCCTTTCTCTCTCTTGACATTAGTTTCCTGCTTTTTCTAAATAGAAAAAGAAAACTTGAAATTACTATGAATGTATTAAAGAAATCAATAGGAGTCTGAATAAAAGAAATGAAATAAGTTTCAAGGCACTACTGAACAAGACGATTTAACTTCTATTTAGATAACTAAAACTTGTTTTTGTTGTTGTTGTTAATCAAGCTACTAAAAGTCAAAATTTTACAAGTAAAGAGCGGAAAGCACAACAACTACTTTAGAAACTTTTTCAGTTTAATTCTATAAAAAATTGAAAATATATTTTGCTTGACAAGTAAACATTACAATAAATCTTATCTATTGAGTTCAGAATCAGAGTACCGAAAATGATTATTTTTTCATCACTTTCTTTTCAACATGTTGAAAAGCTTCAATGAATGATGAATTGTTAAACATATCTTTTTCTTGCATGAACGAATTTTCGAAGATTTGACATTGAAATAGTTCAATTTTTATATGAAAATACGTTCTGAATAGAGACGGATTCGAAAAGGAATCTATCAAAATTTGAAGAATTGTCAAAGGTGGATTTCATCAAATTCGAATTTCCATCTCACAAGCTTTTAGCTCTACAATCTATGGCATTAATTGAAATAGAGCATAAAACAAGATTCGTTCTGGTGCAAAGTTTGGAATAGCAAGTTTCTTTTTCAATAAGAACTATTAAAGCAAAAGAAAAGGATTCTTCAATTAGAATTTTTCATTGTGCAACACTTCGTTTTCAGTTCGAATTAAAAAAATTTACTGCAATCCGTTTGATAAAAAGGGATCAACTGTGACATTTTGTGCTCTTCAATAGAAAGACAAAGTAGATCATTTATGAAATATACGAATACGTTACTATTAGTACTCGATAGAAATTTATAGTTGAAAAGTGTAAAATGAGCTCGAACTCATTAGATGTTTTATATATCATCATTAAATATTTGCAACTGAAGTTAAAAGTAGTTAGCTAATAACTTCAATTTCTGTTTTGTTTATGATGAAATTAAAAGTTCAATGATATTTTTCAATTATTCAACCGTATGATAATGAAATCTTAATAATTCAATGTCGATAATGTTCACACAACAGTCTCTGATGTGAATTAAATTAGCAAAGTAAACATCGACATATGACACAAGAAGAATTTTACGTATCGATTTTGGATCAACGCTATTAGTAAATTTGTTTCGATGGGATTCAAACAGAAACTTTTGAACATTGATTTGAATGTGAATGAAAAATTCATGTAACATTTGAAGAACGATCTATTTCTGTTTAATTTAAATTTATTAAAATAAAATATTATGAAATCGAATAAGAATCATCCGTCTTGATGAATTTGTTATTACTCGTTCTGATCTTGCTCGTGTAATCATTCAAGATAATTCTCATCGAACATAGAAAACAGTGTTTCGATAACGATTAGTTATTTGAATTATTATGTTTTTATTTTTTAACATTTAATTGAGAGGAAGATTCGGCATAGAGGATTTCAGCACTATAATAACAGATTTATTGCTGAATTAGGTCATTAGAGATATGTTGAATTTTTCGGAAGATCTCGTTTCATCTACTTTACAATCTTATTGTATATCTAACTCTCAAGTTTTTCAAATGTAACAGAAGAGAAATAGGAAATGTATACTACCAATTTTTTCTAACAGTGTGAGATCATTTTGGCACAATGTATAGTCTACGAAATCATATCTAAAGTTAATATATTCTACAGATTTAATTTCATATCATGTTTACTATCGTGGTATATTTTAATCGAGTTTGAAAGAGTATTGTTATTTAGAGAAGATACTGTGTAAAATAACACAAGAAGAAATCCTTGAGGGCGTGTGGGTGGGGGTGTCGGTATGGGGTTTATAGCGAGACATGATAAATACAACCACACCCACATCTCACACTCCGCACACCCTCCAGATATCTTTAATGCTGTGTCTGATCGTCAGCCACCAAAACGAAGAAACGAATCATTGAACAGGCGATTATATAATTTAGTTCAAAATCCACATACAGACATGAAGGACCAATTGAAATATATCGGACGCTTGTTATCAATATAGAGTCTCTTTTCTCTTGTATATTGTTAATCATTACTCTTATTGTTATTAATAAATATTTTCATGTCTTACTTACATGTTTATTTCTAAATATTTTTGTAAGCAAGTATCCTATAGAGCAACTAGCCTAGACCCAAGTAAGAGAAGATGCTAGTAGATTCAAACCACACTCTAGAGAAAAATGATGCTTTTATCTTTGCTGTTTTTTTTATCGATTGAATACATGGTCACATAGATTATTTTTTTCATACCGCACGTTATCTTCTTTGCAGACGGTCAACTATGGTGTTTCTTTGTTACAGTTTTTCGAGAAAGTTCCCAATAGAAATCACTTCTTTTTTGAAAAATGCTGAGCATTATATCTCATGTGCATGAAAAAGAGAGTAGACATGATTCTAGTTTCGTATTTTGAACAACAATTTTCGGTATAGTTTGAGGCGCTCCAATATCTCACTATATATTTCAACATTCACTTGAAATGTAAAAAAAAACGTGTCCATCATTTGACACCTTTTATAAATCGATAGGTTAATAGAGTGGTCGGATTTTCTATTTAGAAACTGTACTAGGTAAAGATTACAAACGAATAATTTTGTTTCATTAATTCACTGCACACGGAAATCGATTTCTGAGTTAAGCATGATTTAAGTATTCACTGTTCGAGAGAAATACAATTCTTGCTTTTCTTTATTTTGTGAAACATGATTCGAGATGAATGTTGAAGTAGATCGCGAGAACTTTGACTCCGCTCTCCCTCTCAGCTGAACACCGCAGACAGTAAGCTACATTTTCGTACAGTTATTTACCTTCCTGCCAATGATAATATAACTGATGTGCGTAGAGCTCTTACTTGTGGGTATTAAGAATTCATCGTGTTTCTCAGTTAAATTCCGTAGAGACTATGCTGAAAACTTTTACTACACACAACTTATTTTTCAATAAAAATAGATCAAAACAAAAATGGTATCATGTGGAAGAATTGTGTGTGGTATTCTAGTTATAATTACAGTGGGTATGTCTGTAATTCAAATCATTGTGGGTACCTACTATGTTCTACAACCAGAGCCAGTTCCGTGTGAGCGCTCGAACCTTCTTATCATATTGATTCTGGCTGGTGGTTGCGGTGGTGTTTTATCGGTTTTGTTTCTGTCATGTTGTTGCTATGGCAGTGGATTCGGATTGAGATCATCAAACCCTGATCGGAATCGGCGACAGATATACTATTGATGAAACGCTTGAACTTCTCTAATGGCATGCTGATAGTTACAGACGCTTGATTCCGATCATTTATAGTGAGAAATTGAGAACCACATTTTATTGTATCTCACTGTAGCTGAACAAATTCATTACGCAATAAAATGTTTCCTATTCATTTAGCTTGTTAGTGGCATCGAAATAAATGCAGGATTTAGTTGAATGAACGCGAAATAGATATAATGAATATATAACTCCAAACACTATGAACGTATAACATGTAATAATATTCATCAGATATCAGAAAATCATATTTGATTTTATGAACTCAGAATTTATTTGCTCCGATTCTGTCACCGTTTCATGACGTATAGTTTTGACAGGGGTGACAATGTTACTGGTCCTAATAATCTGTAATCGTGATAGTACCACGTTACCGTGAGCATCTTTAACATCAATAGAGATTTCAATATTGACTTGTGTGAACACAAACACTGTATCACTTTTTTTATTTGTAATCATGTAGATTATCAAAATTGCAATAGATATGAACCCTGAATTCTGTTTTCCAGCGTGAAGAAACAGCAGTTGAGTGTTCAATTGAATAAGAATATCATTTTTCTTTTCGAGTTGTTAATAAATCTATGTTTGTTTCAAAATTGCTTTGCAATTCTTTTTAAGGCATTTTTATCAGTTAACACAGAGCATAAAGTCTTTTTGAATGAAGTTATGAGAAGTGCACAATCTGTAAATGCACTGATAGTGTGCATGTGCATTGACTACAGTATTTACTGAAGGAATGCAAAATACTGTGGCCAACTCTTATTTGTGATACTACTTGTGAAAGCGTTGTATTATGTCGTTTTGTTTTAGAAAGTGAATAAGAAGAGGAAGCAAAGCATGTACACCGAAGTGAATCTTTGCAACACAGATAATCTCTTGATAGTGTTAAAATTTTTGGTAACTTTTGCTTTCTATTCAAAATCTTTTGATAATATGCATTTTTTTATTTTGTATTTAGAGAGCGCAATTACCTCAATCCATTTTTCCTTGGCAATTACTCACTTATGTCTACCAAAATGTTCTCACTCGAGATGATATTTATACACAGGTCTTTGTTGATAATCTGACTGAAATAAAATGTGTTATAATATTGTATTCTGCGTTTGGTCTCGTTCCTCATTGGAACCTCATTGAAAATTATATTCGCAATTGCACGATTGTTTGTGACAAAGAATATACAAAAGATATTCTTGTTGAAATGTTATCAAAATGTATTCCATGGAAACAAAGAGTCATGTTTTGTGCTGTTGAACAAAATTATATCACACCAGTGATTGAAGAATTTGTAGCTGAGAAGAAAATCGGCAGCTACAAAATATGGCGATACATTCAATTTGAATTGGATAAAAATGTATTTCTGGAAAAATCCAAAATACTTCCAACAATAGTTCCGGAAGGTATCAATGTGCTTAGAAATATATAAAACGTTTTGAATTTGTAATCATAGGAATTGAAATTCGACCATTACAACCTGAAGACGCTTTATTTATGATTGAAGAAGGGGGCTACACACCAGACGATCTGTACTCTGTGACTCAAATTCAATTTTGTATTAAGAACTTATGCAGCATGGGTAAGTTTTTCGGCTATTTATGTCAAGATAGTATAGTAATGGTACAACTTTCGTATTTGGAGCAGATTTTACAGATATTCCATAAAACTGTCCATATGATCTTATTTCCGAAAGGGCTCTCAAAGTGCTTGTTTCTTTATTAATACAACTTGAGTTTGAATTCTAATTTTTTTTAATAGGTGCGTATCGTCATGGCAAACTTCTCTGCTGGCGACTCTTGCAATATGACGGCTCTCTCGATATGGTATATACTGTTCCTGAAGCTCGTCGACTAGGACTCTCGTCTCTGTTGAGTGTTCGATTGGCGGCAGAAATTTTCAAAATTCAGGAACGTGTATTCGGGCATACAGCTTTAAATAATCGAAATTCATTGGGATTAGCAGCTAAAATGGGTTTTCATGAGACAGGCATATGTGACTGGATTGTATTCGAACCGAAATATACCTGTGCCAAAGGAGATCCACAGCAGCTTGATGTACTAAAATCTTCGATATAACTTTGCACTCTTGAAGAATGTTTCAAATGAATTCCTTTTTTTATTACCGTAAAATGCATAGAAAAATATATATAAAAATTCATTTCGTAACTATTACACATTGGAGAATATGGTATCAACTTTGACTTGATACTATGGAAACCATAGATATCGATATCATAATGGAGTACATCACTAACACATAAAATACTGAGATCGACGCGAAACTTAATTTCGAATCGTTCTGATTAGCTTCACTAGATTGAAATTTTCCATTGGTGTCAAAGAAAGAAATCAATTAAAAAGTATGAATCATATGTTACAAGCAGATACCAATCATGACAACGATAGTTTTGATATTTTCATGATTTGATATCCACATGAACTAATTATAATTACAAATTATATCAGAAATAACAAAACAAAGCATTATTGTACTTGATTTTGCAGTTTTGCTGTATTCGTTTTTCCTTAACACTGTACTTTAAAAATATTGAATATTTTACGAAAGATACATGGTGATTTAAAAAGGAACTACTCTATATCTTGATTAATTTCGTTCGACATTTTATCATCGCCTTGGGTAACAATCATAAATTTGTTGCAACCAAAATGAATTATAATAAAGCTACTGAGAAACAAAAAGATTCATTTGCCACTTTACTCCATCACTGGATTTGTTTGAGCATCCAACCAATTAACACAATTCAAGAGACTAGTTTGAAAGAAATAATGAATCAATGTATTCAAATGAGTAATTATAAATTTTACTTTTTAACTAAGATTATTTTCTTTTCTTTTCTTTTATAGGTTTTATGCATGGTCCTATTTCTACTTCATATCTATTACCCCGTCGAAAAACGTTAACTAAAGAAATTTAAAAAATAGTACTATCGGTCGTAATGAAATGAAGATGGTCTTATCTTGGATATACTGTACAATGGACCGATCAAGATTGCAATTTATATGCATTTGAATCTTTTTGTTTAACATATAGAAAATATAATAAAACCGCTCTGAATCTAATCCAGTAAGTATCTCATTTATTCGCTACATATTAAAATTGATCTGCACATGATTATCTGGGCATCAAATAAGGATTAGTATTTTACGATGTACAATCATTTATGTTTGATATTATTTCGATATGTGATAGAGAAAGCAATTTCAAGAACGTGTTGAAGAAATTCATGGTTGTACATAGGATGGCAAACCGATTAAATAATGTGCTTCAGCAAATATTCTATCAAGCCAAAATTAATGAAGTAAAAAAAGATATCATATATGTTGATTCAGTTGAGTATGATAATGATCATATTAGCGCAAGTGATACTGACAACAATTACAGGTACTGTGATGATGGCAAGTTGCTTGAAAAAAGAACCAGAACTGTAATTAATGTTTATATAACGTGAAGTCGAATTAATCCTAGTACAATTATTCAGTGCAAACAGTTAGTGAAATACATTAAGAAAGTAAATTCAATATTAGAACTCTTTTTCTTAAATCTGAGCATTAGAACAATAATGATCAAAAATTTTTATATTTTAAAGTGCACTTGAACCAATAACACAATGATAGAGGAACCACTGCTTTAATTCAGAGTGCAGCCATTAGATAATTGAAGCATATTGAATCACTTCAGTTACGGTCTATTCATACAGTGAAACCAAGATTATTTGCAATCAGTTCCTCATTAAAAATACAATGTAATGATGCAAAACAAGAAAGAGATAAATGACTGTAGCGCTTTCTATCTAGTAGTCGCACAGATTTCAACTTTGTTAGGCTTTTCTTTTTCTGTCCAATAGGTTAGATAAGTGAGCAAGGATTTAGTAACCCAATTAACAATCAATAAAAAAAACTTGAGCGTTGTTTTAACTTTTTTAAATAATTGTAATACTTATTTTTGTTATCTAAGAAAATGTCTCTCCTTACATACGAATACCATTTCTATTCTGATATAACATTGCCACATTGGATTATAACTGCTTTTTTTATTCTTTTGATGATATCCCAGGTCCAAACCGTACGGCGGAAAACTGTTGGTTCCGGTGAAATTCCTGCAACCGGAAGCGATAGGATCTATTCGAAAACTTATTCTTTATAACTACATGACTTTAATACCTTACAATCGACAAATTGGATCGCTCTCTCAAAAGAATCTCTAGGATACAATTGTACATTCAATGTTCAAACGCATGGAATATTAAGAAAAAGTTACAATTCCATACAGCCATTGATAAAGATTTTGGCTCTCTTCAAAACATTGAACTAAATTGGACATGATAGCCATTCTTAAAGCAGTTTTAAGAAGTACGAATTTAACAGCAGTGTGAGAACAAGCCGCTTGGATACAAAATACCGCGTAAGAGATTGCACAGCTCACAACCCACTGCTGAAAGCAATAGTGGAGTAGAGATCACGATAGACTATTCAATTATGTCTTCAAATTTGAAGATATTATTTAGCTCAGATAATCCCTCGTGACAATGCACGATAACTAGCTAAACGAAACCACTACTGAGCTGATTTAAATTGATTTAATTGCCAAGAGTTCGAAAACATCTGATACAAAATAAACCGACACCATAAAAAGCAATAAATTAAACGGCCATCTCTGGAAAGTCTAAAAACCGACAAAATACTCAAATCTTATCATTTTAAAGGTCTTCAAGCACATGTGTCACAGATACGAACGGAAGGTGATAGACAGGCGCTGGACCAGAAAGGCTATTCTCTCCGAATCCAACCGAGTTAGATATGTCGAAAACGAAAGCGCTCAAAAATAAGGTACTGAAATACTAAAACAGTCTTCAGGCTGCATAGCAGCCGACCTTCACCTATATATATGCGTGTTCGACACTTAGAAGTTCATTCACTCGTCCATGCAGCTACTAGTAAAGTGCCTTCAAGACTGCCTGAGACTCTTCAAATTGGCCTAGCGATACATAAACACCCTGAAGATCACCAATCTGTCTACATGAGTGAGCATTTAAAATTCCAACGCCAGAGACGCAACACACCTGTTCAGGTAAGTCACAGGTAACACTTCGCATACTTTTTTTTATACCAAAACTTTCTCAAAATCATTCCAACCCCATTTCTGATTTTAATGGATGATAATTGAAAACAAGAATCGACATAGGACGTTGGATTTGTTATAGATCCTCCTTGAGCAACATTTACAATCAGTGTTGTACTATCTATCGGCAGAATATCATATAATTAAGGTAAAGAGAACAAATCACCTTCAAAGATCTTTATTACGCAATAAAATCATGATTTCGGGCTTAAATCAAGCCCGAGTTTCCGGTTTGTCTCATCAGTATCCTTTGCTTGTCCGTTTTGGATGTGAAGGTTTCTGCTAGCATTCCTGATTTCCTCCTCCCTGTTCCTGTAGGATCATTGTATGCTCCTTAGAGTTTCCTATGACTGGATTTGGGAGGAAGTTAAGGGTTCAGGGTACGGTTTTTTCCGGACGTAATACTGCTTCCACTTCCTATTGCTTTTCCTGCAGGATCCGGCGGAAAGGACTAGGGAACCGGTGGGAAATCACTGGAAAGAAGTCGTTTTCAGTACGACATCATATTTGAAAAGTTCATCCGATATATATTTTAGTAAATTGTTTCTGTAGGTTCGAGACTTAAGAACAAATAGAGGTTATTGATATACCGTGATTAATAGATTGATAGATGTCAATTTTTATTGTAGTGTAATGAGGACGAAATATATAATGATATTAGCTATAGGTAACAACGTTTTATGTCTGTTTTTGGTTGTATGTCGCTTTCTCGATATACTTTGTTTGTTGTTGGTTCTCGTTATTTTATATATTGGTGTTTTCGTTGATTGTTAGCACTAATTATGGCATTGAATGACCTTCGTTCCATGAATAATGGCGGTGTCATAATTTGTGGTTAGATCGGTAGTGTTATTTTAACCATAGTTCATGTCTGTAATGTGCGATAAGATATATTCTTGTTGTCAATTTATTATCCTATGTTGTACGTCTCAAAATTGATTTTACTGCAACCAGAGGTCACGCGAAGTACCTAAGATTGGGGTAGGAAGTGTAAAGGAGTATTTTTAACAAAGCTTAGCAAAAAAAAGTACAGAAAATGTACGCTTGTTGATGGAAAAATTGAAAATTTTCAATTATTGGGGGTTTACACTGCCCCACACGTACACCCCGCTCCCATTGCCCCTGACTGCAACACGTCTCGTAAGATTGATCAGTGAGAATTGACTTTTTGACTGCTTTATTCAGTAGTTCATGACGTGTGTAAAATAAATCTTTGCGAGCAATTGAGCAACGATATAAGAAATACGATTAGGATTATCAGATCTATATTTTATCACAAATGGCTCAGCTGCATCTTTGTGATATGTTGAAGTTCTTAATGTTCCGTTTCTACTTTGGATAAATGCATTAAGAAATGAGACAATTCTATCAATCTGACGTACTAATTTAATAATTCGATGAATGCTGTTTGCCCTATCTAGCATCTGATCGATTGATTCAAAATATTGAAAAAAATATCATCAATTTATCTGTGAACTAGTAAAGAAGCTTGAATTTATTTCGAAGAAATATCAATGCAGTAATCAACTAAATTAATATGTTCTTTCGTTATGATCACTCATTAGAATCAAAAGTTTTTTCGATAACCAATTTGATCCCAAAAATCGCAATCATCTTTTAAATAATTTTGTTGCACTTGTAATGGATCTTGAAAATATAAATATTTCTCATCAGTACTATTTACTGTTGGCCATGCTATAGGTATACGTAAAGGTTCATTTGGATTTTGAGTTTTTGCAAAGTTCGTCCAGTACATTCCTATACTTTGAGAAATACGGCGACCAGCATCTGTAGTATTCATCCAATTCGATTCAAATAAATAAGGTAATTCATCACCATGACATACATGTCCATTACAGTATTTTTGACTTACATTGGTGCTTGAATTTAAAGGAAAACCAAAAACATAATAGTATAGTGCAGCTTTACGCGTAAATATTCGTGTTGGGCAAGCAAAAACCCATTGTGTAGCAACTTTAGATAAAAGTAGTCTTTGGTCTCCCTCACCTACAGGAGGAAAGCGTTCAAGAATTTTAAATGCTTTACCTCGAAAGAATGCAAGAGCAATTTCAATATAAGAAATAGGTAAAATAGGTTGATTCCATTTGCTAAAAACGAAATATAAACCTTCATCGAGGACTGTACCCGTAACAAGTGGTTTTACAGGAAATGATAGATTTTGAATTGTTTCATAAAGTTGACCAAAGACAAGAATATCATCAATAACAGGTACCCATGGTTCAAAGAATAGCAATATTTCAAATGAAGTAATTTTGGTATTTACTATTTTTTGAGCGGCGACAATGTTATCAGCGCTTGCTGCACGAAGACAAGATACATCCCCAAACGAACAATGAAGTTCTTCAGCTAGGAGAACACTAGGTGTTATATATTCTGCATAAGTCCTATATGAATAATATAGCTATCCTATATATAATGTATCCCTTTCTTCTACCTAAACGGTATAGCCATGGGTGCACTTTGAATAATAGCTCGTTGAAAAAATGATTGCATGTCCCTTGTTACATAATGTAATGCAACAGATTGTGCACCAGCACTTTGACCAAACAAAGTAATCTGAAAAAGAAACAAAGAATGTATTAACAAGTCATTTGGCATATGATGTTGTTCATAAAACCTCATCTGGATTTCCTCCAAATGCATCAATATTTGCTTTGATCCATGCAATTGCTAGACGTTGATCCAGTATACCATAATTACCGTTGATATCATTGGGGCCGGTTCCAGTTGCCAAAAATCCAAGAACACCTTTATGATAATATAGAGTTTCTTTTTTAAGTATCATTGGAATTCATTTTTGAACTTACCAAGTCTATATTGAATGAGTACAACAATGACATTTGTAGTATTGACCCAACGTTCCGAGTAATATATGGGAGCAGAAGCACCAAAAAGTTGAAACTCACCACCATGAATGAAGAGCATAACCGGTAAAGGCGTAGATTGTGTTGTTATCGGAGTGAAAATATTCAAATAGAGACAATCTTCAGAAAACTAGATGTATCGATGGGAGGAAGAAAAGGTTAAAACTCAGATATTTTTTTCTCGCTAAAAAGTCTTACACTTGGAGGACAAATAGGAGATGCTGGATTACACGGTGGCTGAGGACAAGCAGGTGCTGGCAATGTACCATTAATCACTTTTGGAGCCCATTTCTCAATTGGTACTGGAGGATTCCATCTATATATAATACATAAGCAAGCGTACATATAATAATCTAAAGATCTTAATTTTGACATTACCTTAAATCATTGATAGGTGGTTGAGCAAAAGGAATGCCATAAAAAATACGAGCTGAATTCGTTTGATAACCAACTACATCGCCGTATTTTGTATGAACAATAAAAGGTTCATTTGCATCTGCATTTTGTATAGAACAGGCATAAAAAATAAATAGCATAATATAGACAATCATTTTGTGAGGGAATGTATGTGAACGGTATGAGTATATTTGTACTTCTGACGAAAATGTGCCTTGAATGTTTATTTGTTCTTTACTGATAAGGAAAAGAGAATAGTCCACATGAGATAGAATGCATTTGGCTGACTTTATGATCATAAACAAACTCTTATATATATAAGAACGAAAACAAATAGTTACATTGTATCATTATATTTCTGTAGTATATAATGAGATGATCAAGCCCATTCAAGCTTTCATTTCTATTTTATTGATTCAATTTAAAGTATCAATAAACATCAGTACTAGATTAGATATCACCAATTTGTCAGATGCGTGTTCAAGGAATGGCAAATAGGAATCCCATGGTAGCTTCCGCATAGTTTCTTGAATGCGAAATTTAAAAAAATACAATACCCACAACAATATATTTTACCCAACATGAATGTCGATGCAAAAAACATTACCGAAGATATCATCACTTTAACTTTCATGGATCAGGAAATGAATTGTTGATTCTCATTTCCATGAGCAGCTATCACAGGAACGACAACATACGCTCAACAGATTAGGAATTTCAATTTTTGAACACTACTGAACGCAATCAATCAATTTACGTTACTGTTCTGATACAAATTCCCCTCTAACCCTGTAAAAAGAATTTCCAACAATAATCTGATGTTAGAAAAATGTTTACCCAACTGCTCAATTAGATTTATTGATGACAAGAGAAAATCACATTTTTATTAAATTTTCAAAATAATAATAATTGTTTAGAAACATCGTTTAATATTTTGATATATAACTTGTTATCATTAGGCAAAGAAACATCGCGACATGATTCAGATCATAATTAGTAATTGCTATTGACTGTTTCGGATTTGTTGATATAGTTGAAGTCAGCAACGTTGTTATCACTAAAAGACAGAGATACTTAATATCGTGGAAAATAATCGTATGAGATTGTTCGAAATTTCCAGTTTATCAATAAACCATTATTCAAACAGCTAACGATTTTAACCTACTATTCAATAAAATATGATCGTATACATGTTAAACGAAGTGAACCATATTGATGACAGTGAGATGGTGATGGAATTTCACATTAACCTGTGTCGGTTACAGCGTAGTTTGATTTAAAGATTGAGCAAATATAATTAGAATCACGAAGACATTGTGAAGTTACGGACGTGCCGAGACAAACATGTGCAGAAAATATCGGTGAAATTTGGTAATGATTTTACTTTATATTGAATATCTACTGTTTTGACACAAATAGGAGTCATAGCTAATTTGCGTCTATCAAAATAGACATAAGCTACATGTGGCGTACTTATTATTAAATAGTCATCTGTACAAATCTCATGCATCGACGAATGCTTTGGGTGTGGGTGTGGGTGTGCATTAGAAGAAGAAGGCTCACATCCATCCTTAACTATGTGGGTCTACTATTAGTAATGACTGAAATAAGTATCTCCTGCCATCATCCAGATACTCATTGAAAACAAAGAGCGATTTTTTCCCTGGTAGTCAACAGTCTGATTGAATTTCAATATCGGATCTTTTTGAAACACTAGCTATGAGAAGATAAAAACAGTACCAGTCTTCAACTTGGAGCTGCTGTTTGTTATAAGGGTTTCATGACTTGTCTATCGATTCAAACAAACAACACCCACTTTTATGTTGATTAGATTTCAGATGATCATACTTTTACAAAGCGCTTTATCAAAAATAATTGTTTTTGGCTAATTTGAATGAAATGGGTCGCTGATATTCACAACATCTACTATACATCTCCAATCACCATTTACTAATCTGTTTGTTTTTGATTTATGTTCTTTATTTTTTCTTTTTGCAAAGAAAAAAATCATATCACGAAATGTTGACATTGAATGCCAATAAGTGCATTAGAATAATAACACGGGACGACAACGCTGGGTAACTTATCAGTGGCAGAAATCGAAAGAATTCTGATGAATCATTGATTAATCCTACTCATGACTATTGCTCTTTCTCTTCTAGCTTTCTTTTTTTCATACTCCTATGCAATTTTGCTTGGTAGTAGACACTTTTCATGTCACTCCCGATGCTGTTTTTCACATAAAGTAAACAACATTGGAGAAAAAGTGTTCGAAAAAGCCCACAAATCGCTTCTATAAATTCATTCGAAATTTAGTCGACTGTTGAACAACCGATCATCGAACGCGAAAATTATATTTCAAGTGTAAGTAGATTATTATCTTCATAGAATTTTTTCTTCATAGTCCTATTAACGACGCTCGATGCTTGTGTATATTTTTCGAGAGAAAATATAAGGATCACCGAACTCATTAATGGAGAGTGTGGAACTGTGATAAATAAATGTAATTATTCTTTTTCTATTCCAATAATTATGCATTCTAAAAAACGTTTTTTTTCTACCGAACCCGAAAAAAGGCTCTGCAGATGTCTAAAAGGTTCAATGGTATCCAAAGTCCAGCACTGGTCGGGTTCCGTGAGTTCTGAACTCACTGAACTCTTCGGAACTCTACAGTATTTATAAATACTACATCTTACTTACGTTATGAACCAACAGAAATCACGAAACCCACGGAACTGCTGAACTCACGGCGCCCTCGCAACTGTGTGGATATGCGAGTGGGAGCAAGGATGTGGGTGTGAGGAACGATGTAGCTGTCGAAAGCGGTGTACACGTAAGAAAGACGACCACAGGATATCGCTCATTGTCAATAACTGGACACTGAAATTGTTGAATATGTGAAACTTCAGTAATTGAATAGTTAAACTTAGTTTATTGTTGAGTTGAAGTTTCTAGTGTGTTGCTCAGACGTGGGGAAAGTCAGCTTCCTTTGGATTAGAATGCTATTCTGATCGGCGTGAATGCAGAGCTTGACAACTCAACTCAAAGTGGGGACCAATTCAATTCAATTCTTTAAAAAAAATTCAACTCCATACAATTCTGTTAGGTCCTTTTCCCGTTTTCTTTATTATTCTTATTTCTTTCTTTTCAAAACCAAACAAGCGAATGAATCTACAAACAAGAAAAACAACAAAGAATGTAATTCTCTCTCTTTCTCTTATTCCATTCTTTATCGTCCGTTATCCATGATGAAAGAGCCATTGAAAAAGAGGAGTAAGAATGCCATTGATGTACAGTGATGATATCATACCAACATGGAGTCTCCTTATGTCAGGAGATATCTCTCCTGACATAACAAATTCAATTCGCAGACAATGAAATTCATTCTCCAGTCAATTCAATTCAATTCAATTCTACCGAGGTCCAAGAAAACGACGTCGTGAACGGTGTAAAGCGTATAGAAATGACGTCTTAACCCGTCATACCAGATTACGGAAGCAAAAACGAAGAAGAACAATGGTCATTTGCAAGCGAACAAAATAACCTGTAAAACGGGCTGACAGATTACGGCAAAATGAGGTGGAAATTAACGGTGTATTACACCGTTTTAAAGCCGTTTCATGCCTTTTAAGATGTAGTTTCAGACGGTCGGAATGATCGACCTGGGTATGATCTCGAAAACCTTTTCCCAATTAGATTCAATTTAATTCAATTCAACTCGACTCAGTTACATCGGGAAATTCTAGTTAATGCATTTCTTGTTGTTTTCCGTCATTGAATGAGTTAGCAGTCTTGTTCCTGTGCGCCAAATAAAGAGACAAAGAAAATAATATAAGGTGGTTTGTGGGGAAGAGACATATGGAAACGTGAGTTTGATTCAGCTACCTAGAGATAAAGCCTTAAAAAGACATTATTAAAGAAATCAGTCGATATTTCGTTTTTCATGTCATTAGTTATACTATTTGCATTGATCTTCCAGAACCAGGTTTCGAGCTTTTTTAGTTGCATAGTATTGAATTCGTAGGTATCAAAACAGCAAATCTCAATTCAATTCAGTGATGTCGGACTTTTTGTGGAACTCACGTATATTTTTGAAGAAAATAGTGAATGCAAGTTTAAGGGGCCGAATTTTGCGGCTCCCCACCCCCTCCCCTTACAGACATGCCCATCATTACAGACAGATCCCCCCGCTCCATTACAGACATTAAAAGCTAATTATTAATTAGAATAAAAAATTTAACAAAATGAAGGGAAAATGCGAAAGAAAGAAGGGCGCCAACTAAAATACAATAATCTTTTGAAAATGTAAAAATAAATGAGAGAGATTTTGCTGTGATGATCAATTATTTTGAAAAATCAGTACACTGAAAAAAGTTTCCATGCGGTACCTTTTAGCGCCAAAACTGGATCCGTGCGTGCTACGGAACTTAAAAAGGGTTTCGAGATTTGCAACGAAATCTAAACATTTTGAAGGTTTCGTAGACTTTCATCGAAACCTCTAAGAAGGTTTCGATTTCGTTGCCAATTAAGTTCCGTGTGGAACCTTTTTTCTTGAGTGTAGTCTGAGAAATTTCTCATTTTACACATTTTTATTGGTTTATTGAGGCTTCAAGAATATACGTGAGTTCCACATTTTAGCTCCAACGGGGCTGCACTGAATAGCTTTTTCAACTCAACTTAATTCAACTCAATTCAATTCAATTCCCTTACCCTCCCCCCTCCGGCTCAGATTAAAAGGCCCCGGGCTTTCTAAAATGACCAAGAACAATACAAATTTAGGGAGGCCTTCTATTTAGGTGGTCCTTCCATTAGAAATGTATGAAGAAAAATGTACTGTTACAAATTTGATTCAGACAACAAAAAAGAGACAGTATTATATTAAAGACATGCTCACACACAAGGGGAATCACTATTATTCCAAGTCATACAACATACAAAGAACAAATTGAAATCGTGGATACAATATAAGGCGCAGGCCTTCTATTTAGGCAATCACTCAACATTTTGAGGTGGGCCTTCTAATCGGGGAGCCCTTTTTGATCCAAGACGGCTTTCTATTCCGGTAGGGTGTTACACTGCGCTCTACTGTAACGTATATCTCGCTTCTATCTATTCTCTTTCCTTTTCTTCTCTTTTCTTTTCTTTTCCTTTCTCT